CAAGGAACATCATCGCTGACTTTCAAGCTTGGCCACTCACCTTCATCCGCTAAGCCTTACTCTGCTGAGTTTAGTGCCAATTTAAATTAGGGCATCACGGTCAACCAAGTTTTGCCAAGTTTAAAGTTTTACCATGAGATGGGCTTTAACTCAAACCTGAACATATAAAAATAGGTTTCCTCTGGGGCTTGTACTTGCATTTCCAACTGCTATGAGAATATCTTAGGAAAGTTTGAGGATAGAGGAGCACTTATCTCTCTCCCCTACCTAATCAAAATGTAGTTGTAACGCCCTCTTGTGTACATAATTGGTAGTGTAGTTAGAGACTTGCTAGAAGCCTGAGTGTGAGTCAGTGGGTTCCACGTGAGGTCAGGCTGAAGGGCTCTACAGGTCAGGCCTCTGGTACCTCCCCCTGGTTCTAGAAGCTTGGAGACGTTTCTAGAAGCTAGACGATTGAGGCAAGGAGGTGCTGATCTGCACGCAGGAGGCCTAGAAAGGTGGCTAGATCAGCCCTTAAATATGAGAGAGCCTGGCCAGCAAGGGAAATTGGGTGGAAGATGGAGTGCTGAGGTGTGCTGCTGTGTAGCCTGGGAGGGGATCCTGGAGAAGAGAGATTCTGCCTCCAGGCTGGAGGTCAGAAGGATGGGAGAAAGTAAGTTGACAGATGGAGCTCCACTGCCCTGCAATCCACTGAGGAAGAACAGCCTGCAAGCCAGGAAAGAAACTAGCTCAGAAAAAGGCCTGAGAGCAGTTTACCCAAAGCTACAGGACACAAGGAAAGTGTGAGTACCTCTACACCCCCAAGGCCTGATTTACTATCGCTGTTCTCTAGCTGGTCTAAAACCGCTTTTTGGACACCATGGACTTTTCTCAGTTTCCAGGCAGAAAGAACAGTAAAAAATGCAGGCAGGGCACAGGACAAAGCACTCGGGACAAAATGTATGTGAAATGGTTTGATACAGTAATGTTTTACTATGTGATTTTAGCGATTTTAGTGAATGTCACTTTTTGTCATTTTCAAATTTCCCGCCGTTCCGTCCCCGTACGTCCCGACGCTCGCAGAGGATGGAACCCAGAAGACAGATGCCAGCATCCACCGGATTACATTGCCGGGGGCGCTGCAGGAGGGACATCGCGGGAGCGCAGGACAAGGTAAGTGATTGAGGGATTGCGGAGCAGCGCCGCATGGTATTCCCGAGTGTAGCTCGGGGATACCGTTTGTGGTACTGAAACTTTACCCCAAGCTACACTCGGGAATACCGCCAGGGGGGTTAAAGTGTAACTAAAGGCAAAACTTTTCTTTTTGTTTTAGATAGAATTTTTATTGCTGCCTGTGCCCCCATTAAGGAGATTCACCGTCTCTACTTGTCCTGTTTATCAATGTCACTGAAAGTAAAAAAAATCCAAAATTTTGGGTTATCCCCATAAAAGGGGAAATTTTCCAATGGGGACACTAGTTCTGGTCACCTGGGGGTCCCCGGGGAATTCCCTTCATTTGCAGGGATTTCCTCTCACTTTTGGCTATGGGACAGGAAGTGAACGGAAATCTCCACAATGGGACATAGATAGCGAAAAAGAAATCTTACATGGGTTATAACACTCACTTGCTCTGTCCAAAATAAAAAAACAAATTGCCAATAGTTCTATTTTAAAGTAGAGCTCCACCCAAATGTGGAAGCTCCACTTGTCTGCTTCCCCCCCCCCCCCCTTTACTGCCACATTTGGCACTTTTTGGGGGTGAGAGGGGAGCGGGAACCTGATTTTGACAGGTACCCAGTCTCACTTTTGGCACAGTTCCCCACAACAAACTGACCCGGAGGTTTGACCCCCCTGCAGTCTTCTGAGATACTTCACAGGTCCTAGAAGACTGCCACATTTGGCACTTTTTGGGGCTGAGAGGGGAACGGTAACCTGGTTTTGACAGGTACCCGTTCCCACTTCCGGCGCAGTTCACCATAGCAAACTGAGCCGGAGGTTTGGACCCCCTGCAGTCTTCTGAAACACTTCACAGGTCCCAAAAGACTGCTAGAACATTCAGGAGGTGCAACATGACTGACGCAGGCGCAGTGGATGTGAAGCTGAAAGCTGTTACAGTCAGGTGCCCACAGTTAAGATGCCAGCACCAGGGAGAGAAGAAGGAGAGAAGGGACGGCGTGAGTGAGCAAATCGCTGGGGCAGGTGAGTATGTGTATATAAAAATCAGCAGCCATGGTTTTTGTAGCTGCTGAATTTTAATAAACACAAAAACGAATGGAACTCTGCTTTAAGTTTTAAAAAAAAAAACCCTTCTGTGTACATGGCCCCCCACCCCATACTTATCTGAGTCCAATTTCAACCCAGCACTGTGCCCGAGAGCAGCAACTCTCTGAGCTCTTTCTCTCCTCATTGAACAAAGAGGCAGCAGTGAGAGCCATTGGCTCCTGCTGCTGTCGATCACAGCCAGTGAGCCGAGAGCGTGGGTGGGTGGGGCTGAACTGCACTTGGTAGGGGGAGGAGCCAGGATAGCTGATTGGGGACACCAGAAGAGGAGGATCAGGGCTGCTCTGTGCAAAACCATTAGACGGTGCAGGCAAATTGTTTGTTAGATGTTTGTTACTAAAAAAAATAATCACCCTTACAATTAATTTAAGCGTAGCTTTCTAATAGCACTTTGCCTCTAATAGCAGCCAAGTGAGTGGCAGTTAGTTTATGAGAGTTATTTGTTAAGAGAGAGCAGTTGCAGTGTTCTAGTCTTTTAACAGAGTGGCCCTAGCATAGGCCAGCTCACATTCCCTGGGCCTTGGCAGAGCCCCCCACCTTCAAGCTGGGGGCAGGCCCCAAGACCAAACCTTCCCCCTGTGGCATATGCACCAGGCAAAAACCAGGCATGGAAGTACCAAGTGTTTTTGCAGCTAGGTTGTAGTCAGCTTGAGCTTTTTTTATGTTTTCTGTAGTTGTTGGGTTAAATATTTGAAGCATTATTTGTCTGAATTCGCACTGACTTGCTCTAAAATTTAGGGAAAATGGATGTACATGTCCCTCCATTTTGACCTGTTTACACCACAGTGCTGTGTTGCCCTACATTGTGTTGTGTTAACCACTTGCCCCCCAGAGAATTCCCCCCCCCCCCTTCATGACCAGGCCATTTTTTGCTTTACGGCGCTGTGTTACTTTAACTGACAATTGCGTTGTCATGCAACGCTGCACCCAAATGAAATTTACGTCCTTTTTTTCCCCACAAATTGGGCTTTCTTTTGGTGGTATCTGTGCGTATTTTATTTTTTGCGCTATAAAAAAACACGACAATTTTGAGAAAAAAAACTATTTTTGACTTTTTGCTATTAAACATGTCAGTACAACAATAAAAAAAATTCAAAATGTATTCTGCTACATGTATTTGCTAAAACAAATCCCAATATGTGTAAATTAATTGGTTTACGTGAAAGTTATAGCGTTTACAAAAGGCGGTAAATGTACTAGGATTTTTTTTAATTTTTACTAGTAATGGTGGTGATCAGCGACTTATAGCGGGACTGCGGTGGAAATTCTGACACTGTAGAGAACTGACTTGGTGTCACTGACATCCCCAGAGACACCAATACAGTGATCAGTGCTAAAAAAAAAAGCTCTGACACTGTACTAATGGTACTGAGCAGGAGGGGGTTAACATGCGCGGCGATCAAAGGGTTAACTGTGTGCAAGGAGTGTTTTGCTAGGAGGCGGTGTCTGTGTGCTTCACTGTAATCACACTGCTCTGGATGGCTGTGTTGTGCACAGCCATCCAGAGCAGTGTGCCCAAGCTGGCAGGGAGGAGGGACTGCTAGTAAACAAAACAGTTCTCCCCGTCGGAGATTGTCAGAAATCACCGGGCGCCGACGAATAATTATCAGCCAAAACCCAGTGTCTGACAGCCGGGAATGGCGGTGGGTAAGGCGCGCGCGCGGCTCATGTGCGCCCCCTGCCCAAAAATGCAAAATCACATATATATACGTGATTTTGCGCAGCCGTGCTGCCCTGTAGCAGTATTTCTGCTATAGGGCAGTCGGGAAGCAGTTAAAATTCATAATTGTTGCATTTTAATACAACACAGATCAACACAGCATTGTGGTGTGAACAGGACATATATACACAATTGTTTTTTTTTGTGTGTGTCTATGCATTGACCTGCATTTTACAAGTGCACTAAAACGCAGATCAATGCACTAGTGTGCATTAGCCCTAAATGCAGCTTAAGGCACCATCCCTACACGTTCTACGCTTTTAATTCATGTATAAATGCCAAAGAGAATCCTAATATATTGCCCATATCTGTCCTATTTTTTATCTGAACCAGGGAAATGACCAACCTGATTGGTTGTTCAGTTCCATTTCCATTGGTCTCCTTTTTAGAAGTGTGAGCAGCAAAGTTCCTTGTTACACAGAAGCAAGTCGATGAGGTGGATTTATAAAATCTTCAATAGTGCAACTCTTACCTTAAATAGCAATCAGCTTTCATTCTACATACAAATTACAACACATAAAGATTATAGATGGTTCTTTAGGTAACTTTGCCCAGTTTGCTTTAACCTCCCTAGCGGTCTGATTATGTCCATATTTCTGTGTTCAAAGCGGTAAATTTTTTGCGTGGAAATATGTTGTTTTTTTATTGTAGGCCTGTAATTTTTAGGAATAACTCACTGAAATCTGTGTCCGAACAAGAGTCTAGTAAACATCCTGGGTATGTTACAATTTGAAACACGAAATCATAAATTATAATATAATAAATAATCATAAAATATAATAATACATTTAATTCAATAATATAATCAAACCAAAAACACTGAAATTTTTAATAGAGCGCCAAGTTCCCACATCACTGATCTTAGTCACAAAATCGTTTTCAGTGTCTGATGACGAATTTCCCCACGAATCATTATTCACTCAATTCTGCAATGGTTCTGATTTACTATCGCTGTTCTCTAGCTGGTCTAAAACCGCTTTTGACACTTTTTGGACGCCATGGACATTTCTCAGTTTCCAGGCAGAAAGAACAGTCAAAATGCAGGCAGGGCACAGGACAAAGCACTCGGGACAAAATGTATGTGAAATGGTTTGATACAGTAATGTTTTACTATGTGATTTTAGTGAATTTAGTGAATGTCACTTTTTAATCATTTTTAAATTTCCCGCCGGTTCCGTCCCCCCTGTACGTCCCGACGTCACAGGGAGCGGAACCCAGAAGACAGATGCCGGCATCGGCCGGAGGAGATGGCCGGGGACGCTGCAGGGGGGAGCAAAGGACAAGGTAAGTGCAGGAGGGATCCCAGAGCAACGCCAGATTGGTATTTCCGAGTGTAGCTCGGGGTTACCGCTTGTGGTGCTGAAACTTTACCCCGAGTTACACTCAGGAATACCGCCAGGGGGGTTAATTTGCAAAATTCAGAACCAGTTACTTCCATACACAGTGATTTGTTTCCTGGTACAATACACAGTAAAATGAGCAATGCTTTACTTGTTCTCATTATTATCAATATTCATTAAACTATGCTAGAAACATAGGGGGAGATTTACTAAAACTAGTGTACTCAGAATCTGGGGCAGCTGTGTATGGTAGCCAATCAATTCCTAACTTTAGCTTTAACAATAAAACCTTGAAGCTGATTGTTTCTATGCAGAGCTGCACCAGATTTTGCATTCTCCAGTTTCCGTAAATCTCCCTTATTGGGTCTTATGAATATTTGTATCTACTTACCCTCTGGAAGATTTACCCCCCCTTCAAGACGAGGCCATTTTTTGCTATATGGGGCTGCACTATTTAACCGACAATTGCACGGTCATGCAATGCTGTACCCAAATGAAATTTATATCATTTTGTTCACACAAATAGAGCTTTGTTTTGGTGGTATTTGATCACCACTGTTTTTTTTTTTTTTTTTTTGCGCTATAAATGAAAAAAGACCAAATATTTTGAGAAAAAAACAATTTTTTTTACTTTTTGCTGTAAAACATAAATAGAGCTTTCTTTTGGTGATATTTTATCACTGTTTTTTTTTTTCACACAAATAGAGATATTTTATCACTGTTTTTTTTTTCACACTTTCTTTTGGTGATATTTTATCACTGTTTTTTTTTTCACACAAATAGAGCTTTCTTTGGTGGTATTTGATCACCATGTTTTTTTTCATTTCTTGCTCTATAAAAGAAAAAAAGACCAAAAATTTGGAGAAAAAAACAATATTTTTTTACTTTTTGCTGCAAAACATATCCAATAAAAAAAAAAAAAAAAAATAAAATGTCTATATAAAATTTAGGCCAAAATGTATTCTGCTACATGTCTTTGGTAAAAAAAAATCCCAATAAATAAATATTAATTGGTTTGCGTGAAAGTTATAGCATTTACAAATGATAGTATATACAGTAATGGTGGCGATCAGCGACTTATAACGGGACTGTGATAGTATGACACTAATACAGTGATCAATGCTAAGAAAATGCACTGATACTGTACTAATGATACTGGGTAGGAAGGGGTTAACATCTGGGGCAATCAAAGTGTTAACTGTGTGCCTAAAAAGTGTTAATGTGTTAACTGTGTGGTGCTTTTACTAAGCAATGTGCCGGTTTTCATTCCCTGCTTTGCATGGAGACAAAAATCTGCACATCGCCACTGTCAGTAGAGAGATCTGTGTTGTTTACCAACACAGATCTCTCTCTGTTATTTGCTCCGACAATCACTGGGTCCTGGCCATGAATCATTGGACCCACTGATCAGCATGTGCTGTAGCGAATGGCAGCACAGCAGGGTTGGCAGGCACGAGTGCTCCCTACCCAGCAGTCCGAGATTAAGTGTATATATACGTGATCCTGCGCAGAGCAGCCGCATTGAAGCAGTAAAGCTAACATGCGCCAGTCCTAAAGTGGGTATACAGTCTGCCAGGCATTTCCATTTTCTCATAGACTTTAAAAGAAAAAGTGGCAGATAAAATTTGATTGGATATCATGGATATCATGGATGCATCCTCAGTAAAAGAAAATGTATCTGGCAGATATAAATCAGGAAACTGTCACACTGCAGAAAATCCTTTTTTTGCACGCAGAGTACTATATCACACATTATGCTCCAATAGCTCCCTCTGCTGTTTACCTAGAATTTTACATTGCTGCTTCTTATTCAGAGTGATTCTCTGTATGCCTGGGGATTGGCCAGTGCTCCTTCAGCTGTTTTATATCCATTAAAAATGATTTTACTTTTATCTTGGCTATTTTTTAAATGTTATCTTTTAATTTTCTTTGTCCCATCTACCTTCATGCATCTGTGTACTTTTCTAGCTGCTAGCTGTAATAATTCCATTAAAGGGAAATTCCCCCCAAAAAACTCAAAACATTATTTTGGGTTAAACAATGCAATTTCCTAAATGTTTTCCTCAACTTTGAGAGAAGGAAAAACTACTTTTCATGGCATTTCCCATAGCATACATGACAGAATCGGATTGACATGATGAAAAAAAAAATTCAAACTGTTAAGTCTCGGTTATGCACCTTGTATCTTTGAGAACTTGTAGTCCACCTTAATGTATAATGAATTATAGATTTTTTTTTATGTGGCAAGGGGCTTTCATTTGTTAGAAGGTTTGGATATGTATATTTTTATTTCCTATGTTTTAATTTAATAGAAATATTGAAAATGACTGCATTTTCCTATAATGTTTTTCACAACACAACTTTTGCATAATTTGAAAAGTCTGCTGATTAAAAGAATAGTATGGGTTTGTTTTGTTTTTTTAAATCATACTTACCTATGTGGATGTAGCATTGGACCGATGCTGCATCTGTCCCCCGCCAGCTCTTAGGCTGAGAACTGAGCGATCAGACACCTCTGATCGCTGAGTTCTCCCCACCGCTCTGAGCAGAGAGCAGTGACTGTCAGTCACTGCTGTCTGCTGTGCTCCTCCAGTGCTCACTGGAGCGCTGGGCTGTGGAGGAGGCTGGGCTGGCTCCGGTTCTCAGTGGCTCACTGAGAGGCTGAGCCAGGTATCGGTCCAGGCTCCTGGGTGGATCTTGACCATATGGTCGCAATCAGGGGCGGACTGACCATTTGGAAACTCGGGCATTGCCCGAGGGCCCGGGGTCAGTAGGGGGCCCCATGAGATGCTCCTGGTACCTTTTTCATAGGCTTTTTTGAGTTTGGACAGGGACCCAATGATCCCCTATTTCCCCAGGGGCCCCATGAGTTGTCAGTCCGCCCCTGGTCGCAATCTTTCCCCAGCCTGGATGGCTCTGTGACATCAGGTTTAGCAAACTTCAGCTGAAAACGGGTCACAGGAGTGCAGAATGAACTGCACTCCTGTGATCCACAGGAAAAGTACAGCCAAAAGAGCTTTGGCCGTACTTCTTTCTCCTTATCTCCTTTTAAATGAAATCATACAAGTGCAGGGGCGGACTGACAACTCATGGGTCCCCCAGGCAATAGGGGATCATGGGGCCCCTGTGTCCTTGGCCAAACAAAAAAGCCTATGAAAAAGGTACCAGGGGCATCTCATGGGGCCCCCTACTGACCCCAGGCCCTCGGGCAGTGCCCAAGTTTCCAAATGATCAGTCTGGCCCTGCACAAGTGTGATTTTTGTAAAGTATTGGAATGGTAAAGCCTAAGATGAACATTTATGTTCTTCCTTTTTAAACCTTCATTGTGACAGACCCAAGAAATAAAGTTGGTTTTACGTACTGTATTGTCAGAATAATAATATTAACCACCTGAGGATTTCCCGCCCTTCATGACCAGGCCATTTTTTGCGTTATGGCACTGCGTTACTTTAACTGACAATTGCACGGTCATGCAACGCTGCACCCAAATGAAGTTTACGTCCTTTTTTTCCTGCGAATTGAGCTTTCTTTCAGTGGTATTTGATCACCTGTGTGGTTTATTTTATTTTTCGCGCTATTAAAAAAAAAAAATGACAATTTTAGAAAAATACAATATTTTTTTACTTTTGGCTATTAAACATGTCCAGTAATACAATTTTAAAAATCAAATTTCATCATAAATTTAGGCCAAAATGTATTCTGCTACATGTCTTTGCTAAAAATAAAATCCCAATATGTGTAAAGGGTTAACTGTGTGCTGTTTTACTATCTGCTTTGTCTGTGTGCTTCACTGTAAAGACACTGCTTTGCATGACTGTGCTGTGCAGAGCCATCCAAAGCAGTGTGCACGAGCTGACAGGGAGGAGAACTGTTTTGTTTACAAACAGTTCTCCTCCCCATCGGAGATGCTCGGCAATCACCAGGCACCAGCGAGTAATCACCGGCCGGAACCCGGTGATTGACAGCCGTGGCTGCTAATGGCGGCGCGGGTATGGCGTGCTCACGCCTCGCACGCGCCCCCTACCTGGAAATGCAACATCATGTATATATACGTGATTTTGCACACCCATGCCGCCCTGTAGCAGTATTTCTGCTATAGGGTGGTCTGGAAGCGGTTAAAGCGGAGTTCCACTCACATTGTAAAAAAAACAAAAACTGTAGCTGCTGACTTTAAAAAAACGAACACTTGCATGTCCTTCGATCCTGCAGTATTCTCCCTGCAGCCCATTTCACTGGCAATCCGGTGTTCTTGGTGCCGCCATCTTCAGTGTGTGCACCCATCTGTGAAAGCTTGAGGCTTCCCACTGCGGGTGCCCACTGCGCATGCGTGAGTAGCGCTGCGCATTCTGAATGGTACTATAGTCTTCAGGGACCTGTTACAAGTCCCAGAAGACTATGGGGAGGGGGGGGGGGGGGCAACTTCCACTTCCGATCACCTAGGCAATTGTAACGAAAGTAGGAGTGGGTACCTGTCAGTTTCGAGTACACGCTCCCCCCCTCCCTGCTCCCCATAGGTGGCAATCCTTAATAGGGAGTGGGGAACCAGTCTTTAAAGTGGAACTTCCCCTTTAGGGGGGAGCTCCACTTCAAGTTGTGTTGGATATATTATAGAATATTATATCAGCTGATAGGTCAATTAAGGTGACCATACAGCAAGTTATGTTTACAGCAGGCTTTAGGCACACTTTAATAATGTAGCTTCATGACAGTAGCTGCTGGCTGTTGTAGAGAAGCAGCACAGATAAACTAACATGGTGGAATATTTATGTAGGACCAGGAGCTCCCAGCTATCAGTCCTGTTATTTTCCCCATGCAAGACAGTGCACTGAGATTGAGTCCCTCTCCATTATATCATTCTTAACATTATCCACACTGAAATGTAGAATATCTAGTAACCATGGAACTTAACTCTCCCAGTACAGAACTTGGAAGGCTGACTGTTGGGTATTGGCTGTGATCAGTTGCCGCACACGTTAAAGCCATATCTCCAGTGAAAAAGCTGTGAACATGTTGTCT